TGCATTTTATACAAGTATAATATTGCATTTTATTAAATAAAAAATGAGACCATGAGTCGAATATGTACACACACGTTTTAACTCAAATCATTTAACACAATAACATGCAGTCACACAGCCAAGTGTTAAGTGTTCATGTAGATGTAACTGTTTAGAGTTTTTAAAATTTATATCAACATAAACTGTCAAATCATACATACAGTACAGTTGAGGTCAAAATTCATAAGAATAATCTGTAATAAAATGTTCTTTATTTATTATTAAATCATTATTTTGCCAAAATAAGAGGGATCACACAAAATGTATGTTTGTGTAAGTACAGAACTATTTTACATAAACAGGTATTTCAGGTCAAATATTTGGATTAAAAATTCCCCTATATGAGTTGATTTACTTGATTAGAATGATTCTGTTAAAACTGACAAACAAACAGTCAGAATATTCACGTCTTTTGGAACAGAAATGTTTATTAAAATGTTTATGGAAACTTTTAATTGATTGTTGAGGTTTATTGTTTTGACCAGTCAGTGTCAAAGTGTGGGTCATCATAACCAGATTACGAAATGAACTTTTTCTTTTCTTTTTTTTGTCTTTTCTGTCCACCAGCCAATGTAGATTGTAGCTTTCCAAGGTTACTCCACATTTTCACTTGCTAATTTTGTTGTTGGATAATTACATTTTAATTGATTAAATTCTTGCAGAGAACTAGTTGTCCTTGTCCATTTGCCGGCATGCTGCCAAATATGACCAAAGCACATGGTCTTCTGTAGTCTTTAACAAACCAATTTAAAATAGGTTGTGCAAACCACAAAAGACCCTCTTCACATTTTCACCTCATACTTTCTATTCTGCTATTGGCACAGTACACTCTAAAAAAACAGATGCTTCTTTTTTTCTTTTGCAATCTTTTAAAACTTCTTCTTAACACATTTTAATCTGTTTTTATCTGTTTTTAAAAAATTTTATTCTTAGTTTTTATTTTCTTGTTTATTTTTTTGTTTATGTAAACCTCTTTGAATTACCCTTGTATGAAATTAACTTGAAATTAAATGAAATGCTATATAAATAAACTTCCCTTGCCTTGCAAAGATTTATTTTTTATTTAGTGTAACCAGTGACAGATTTAGGCATGGGCATTGTAGGAGATCACTTAGGGTGGCATCCTGCTATTGGCGGCACGGAGAGCCCCCACCTATCCCACCCCCCTACTCCCCCGCTATTCACTTTCGTCCTCAGAAGCTCAAACGCTGGTATCTTGCTAGGGGTGGCATTGTGACAACCTAACTTTAAATAGTAGGGCTATTCAATAGCACGGCTATTCAATTAGCGGCAAGCAGGCTAAACTTGGCCCACGAGGGAATTTGTTCCAGTGTGACCCAGACATCAAAAATTGATTTAGTTCAGTCACTATAGTTATAAAGTGAGGTGCGTCTGTTCAATCAGCCTGATCTTACGAGGAAATGTAAGTATTTTTTGTTTTGTCAGTTTAGTGGCTAATTCGTACAAATTCATACGAGTTCAGTCGTACGAAAATTTATGATTTTAAAAAGGAGGCGTGGCACCCAACCCCACCCCTAACCCCAATGTTCATTGGGTGATGAGCAAATCGTACTAAATGTATTAATTAAATTGTTCGAATTCATATGAATTAGCCACTAAATCAAAAAGTTATGAACCGCCGTGAGATTGCATGGGTTAAATACAGCAGGAGCTGCAGTTAAAGGCAGCGCAGAGCGCGAGTCACCTGACATTTAGCGAGTGGCTCGAACGACCGAAAACATTTGGATACTTAACCGTAAAGGCTTCTCAATGTCGCGTTTCTGTTGCACAGAGCGAAACTGCTGCAACTAAAAGTTATGTCACCTGTGGGCTAGTTTAAAGTTCCAGACTTATACACAAAGGCTAATATGCACGCACACTGGATTAACTATAGCGCAAGTTCATTATTTTCAATGTAAGACTATATGCCAATATGTGTTGTTACAAACCCCTGATGTTAGTCTAGGGTGTGGGGTTTTACATTTATTTAATTAAAATATATTTATATAAACAGTGAATAAGTGGAAAGACAACCAAAGTAATGCCAAAAAATGTGTTACAATATGTACAACACTGAAACAAATAACGACGGGAAAAACAAGAGAGCTGGCAGAAGGGACGTGGGCGGCGCTAAAGAAATGAAAAGAACAAAACCCAAACTAAATCTAACTTCCCAGAAGCATCTAGCTAACTAACTATGTGAAAACTGTATAATTAACACACGAAGATCTTCCGAGTCCTAACTATCTACTCTATCTATCTATCCAAAAAGTACAAGGAGTGGCGCTCGCCCCTAACCTAGTGTACTAGACAGCAGAGTAGTCCTATGTGTTGCGAAATGTATGTCACGTGACCTTCTTACCTGTCCGCTTCGTCCAAGCCTCGTAAACAACGATAAACTAAGAACAATGTACGAATAACGGACGGATAACGTGCACACAGAAACAAGCAACAACAAAATACACAGTTAGACGGGTTATTTCAAAACGCACGTGGTAAATACAAACAAGCGACAAAACAGCAAAAGAGAAAAATGCAAGCAAGAGAAAGCGAGTGGTCTGGTGCGCGCTTTTAACACGGGTGGTCTTTGCTCATTGGATGTGACGTAAGAGTGACGTAACCGGGGAGGAATGACTGACAGCTGAATGGACCAATGAACGAAACCTGAGAATACATGAGAGCAGATATGGGAGAACAGACCGAGAGCGAGAGAGAGAGAAAGAAAAAAAACACAGAGAAACAGAGCACAAAAAACACAAATACATAACAGTGTGTGCAAGCGGAGCGATGCTTCCAGGCGCATCAAGTGGAAAACATCTTACACCTTAGCAGTGAGAGTTGTGCGTGGCTTTCAGTAGCATGTAAACATAAGATATGTTAGACGAATTATTACGAATTATTAAAATGAAAATGTATTTATGAACGCAGATAATAACAGTTCATTTAGTACGTACCTCATATAAAGCTTAAATTTACATTAGACGTGACAACCATGATTATTCTTCAGACTATAATTGTACAGCCGAAATCTATAATGGTTGCATCCATAATATGACATATGAATGTGTCTGAATGTAGAAGAAGCCTACTTGAGCAATACACTGATTTTGTTGTGCTTTGATATACAACCGTTGAATATTTGTTTAAAAAAAAGCCTTTTGTACAATGCACTGATATTACGAAGTTTCAAAATACAATACATTAACATTTTAATGTAGAAAAATACAACATGGGTGTCTTAAGGAGCAAAAAAACAACATATGGGCTCATATGCAGTTGTGTCATCACTCATATTGCCAGTCATATCCCTCCCGTCCCTCATTTGGGATGCTTTTCATGAGCTGGCCTCTAGTAATTGAATAGTCCTGCTATAAAGTGTGACAAACATGCAAAAAATAAGACATCAGTAAGGGAGCAAACTATTTTCCCACAAATCCATATTCTGTATGTAGGTTGACAGTTATGGATGTCGTGCCTTGGTCAGAAACATTTAAAAGTTGCATAAATACACTTACTACACATCCCCTGTGTTGTAGACTTGCGTTTGGTGTTGTTTATACACAGTTGCTTCTGTATTTTGCATTGAGCTCTATTTTTTATAGGGGCACGGTAAGGACATGTCCCAAAACGAGAGCTAAGTCTTATTTAATCATGCTAAGCCAGCTCATTACTCGTACCCTTTCATAATGTACAATCTAGTTAGGAAAAATCCCTCAATCCTGTTGGAGACCAGCCCAGCCTAACCTACAAACCCAAAATCCTGGCAACCTTTATTTTTAAGCTGCAGATGTGTTTTATATTATATCCCTACTTGCCCTTTCTAATTGTTGATTATAGTGTTCAAAGGCTTATAGTTCATAAAGAAATTGTGTTCAAAACGCAGGGTCATGAGTAGATCTTGATGTTGAATTAATATTGGTGTAATTATGAGTATTACAAGGCTCTTTGGTATCATTCATGCATATTGGTTGTGTAAATTACGTAATACCTAGTTTGTGCTCTCTTACACTACAATTCAAGCTTAAATCAATATTTTCATTTGTTTTTGTAGTAAATAGCTACACAATAAGGATAATAATGTAAAGTTAGATGGTTATTATAAAATAAACCCTTACAGATTGGACATATATGTTGAGAATATATTAGAATACACTTAACGTCCACTTTATTAGGTACACCTGTCTAGCTGCTCGTTAATGCAAATTTCGAATCAGCCAATCACATTGCAGCAACTCAATGCATTTAGGCATGTAGAAATGATCAAGACGAACTGCTGCAAATCAAACTGAGCATCAGACTGGCAAAGAAAGAAGATTTAAGGGACTTTGAATGTGACTTGGTTGTTAGTGCCAGACAGGCTGTTCTGAGTATTTCAGAAACTGCTGATCTACTGAAATTTTCACGCACAACCATATTTAGGGTTTACAGAGAATGGTCAGAAAAGAAGAAAATATCCAGTGGGCAGCAGTTCTGTGGGCCTACATGCTATTATTCACACAGGCTCACCAAAATTGAACAATAAAAGATTGGAAAAATGTCGCCTAGTCTGATGAGTCTTGATTTTTGCTGCCACATTCGGATGGTAGGGTTAGAATTTGCCGTTAACAACATTTGTATCAACGGTTCAGGCTGGTTATGGTGGTGTAATGATGTGGGGAATATGTTCTTGGCACATTTTGGGTTCATTAGCACCAATTGTGCATTGTGTCAACACCACAGCCTACCTGAGTATTGTTGCTGACCGTGTCCATCCCTTTATGACCACAGTGTACCCATCTTCTGATGGCCACTTCGAGCAGGATACGCCATGTCATAAAGTGCGAATCATCCCAGGCTGGTTTCTTGAACATGGTGATGAGTTCACTGTACTCAAATGGCCTCCACAGTGACCAGACATTAATTCAATAGAGCAGCGATTCCCAACAGAGGGGTCCCAGTCTACAAGGGGGCCTCTATGAAGGTATTTTTGGTGCAAAACTCCCAAGCAGCTGTAAAAGTGTCATTTGTAGTTGTAAAAAATAGCCACACATGTGTATCAGTAAATTTGTACTCGCAGAGCAAATTTGCAAATGCGTATCAGTAAATTTGTACTCGCAGAGCAAATTTGCAAATGCGTATCAGTAAATTTGTACTCGCAGAGCAAATTTGCAAATGTGTAGGTATTTTTTGTCTCCAACAAACACAACGCAACATTTACACCTGCACAAATTCTTCAGTACAGGTGCACAAATCCCATCGGACGAATCACAAATGCAGAAACTCATCCGCTCATGTTCTTTGCTACTATTGTTGCAGTGAATATGGTGCAAAACACATTCACACACCTGCATCCAGAAATGTGAAGTCACAGACAAAACTTGCACATCTGTAGATTAGAATGTGTATCCGCACAAAGAGAGCTGAACGTGTGTAGAATGTTTGATTATTTTTTTTCTAAGCACGAACACAAATATGTTCCTGCAACTGCTCAAATCTGCCGCTACGAGTCTCAAGCGCTGTTTTTCACTTGCAAATCTACATTTCGCTCTCTCGCTCTTCTGCACCAAAAATCACTGTGACATTTGGTGCAAAAGTTACTTGTGTATCTGCCAACCAAAACGTGGGCTCTCAGAGAAATTCAGCCAATAGGGGATGGGGCGTGACGTCACCGCTCTAGCGCTGCGGAGGCTGAACGTCGAAACCGAAACCCCCTTTGCGAGATTCGCTGCATCTATACCTGATTTGCGTTCAAAAATGCCTGCTTAATTATTTCATAGTAGGAGCAAACATGCCTTAAGAAAAGGAGTAGGTTTGAAACTTTAGTAACCATAAAAAGTCCGCCAGGTGGATGCCTTTCTACTCCAGGAAGCCGCAGCCTACGGCCTGAAGGAGGAAGAGGACGCGGTCAGTTTGAAATGTGAGTATTAAACCAAAGACAGTTCTTTGTGTTAAACTCGTATTTGTTGAGCTACTGTACAGTGCACTGTAGAATTGCTGAGGGTGTAAAGAGGCTTTAAATTATAGTCTATTTCATTTCGCTGTAAATGTTGACTGTGTAATGTTACGGTCTCCAATCAGCACATATAAAGTAACGTTTCAAAGGTAAAAAAGATTATTATCAAATGTCTGACAGAAAAATGTGAAGTATTGCAGATCACAAGACTAAACAGACATCTGAGTGAGTGATGTATTTGTGCTGATGTAGAATCTGCTGTCAATTGACTGTTGCCAATACTGTTTAAATTAGATACATGTATTCTTACTAAAAGAGAATAAAGGGTCATTTGTTTAATCTGTGCATCAGTATATAGTTGATCACTTGAGTAAGGTTTGTGTTACATCAGCAACTACACCAACATGTTATTTGAGCATGTGAATCAGAGGTGATTTATTCTAGTCTTTATGTTACAGGGAGGCTTTTATTGAGTACAGTACAGAAACTACAAAAACATATTTTACATTTGCTATTTATTATTAGTTATTGTATTTTCAAACAGTGTTTACATTAGCTTTCTGATTACTGGTGTGTGTGTGCTTTTTCTGCAGAGCTGAATCGATGACATCCTGATAGCAGCAATACAATTAAGGTACGTTTTCATTGCTTCATTTTTTAAAACCACTTATAGTTGTACAGTTTGATGTTAGTTTAAATATAACTATGTTAGTGATCAGTATTCATACCTAGGATAACAATTCTTGTTTTACGAAAGGTAACTTGGCTTGCTTGCCCTAATGTCATGTTTGCTATTTAGTCTTATCACATAATATGATTAAACTATTTAATTCATAAGCTATATTTATTTTAGAAAAATGGCAGACCAGGGTGCATCCAATGCATTGAGGTGAAGTTGGTTTTATAGTTGCACATTCTGACTTTCTTCTTAATAATTTAATTTCAGAAAAAGATTTTCAAATTCTATATAGGGAAATCATATTAGCAGCCAATGACTATCAAAATACAGCACTGTCCACAGTCAAATAAATATTAGTTCTAATGTTGTTTTGAAGTCATTCAGACCAAATATTTAAAGTACCATGGTAAACAATATAGGGACCATTAAAATGTTTAAATGCAAATATAAACCATCTTTACCTTAATAACTAACGCTACCATGTTTTATGATTCATTTTACACTCCAAAAAATGTATGTTTACTTAACATTTTTACCAAGAATGTATTGCTAGTAATGATAAATGTGGACAATTAACTAAGTAAATCTACTAGTAGTCACTAGACAATGCATCTTATTTTCTTACATTTCTGTTAAACAATGGAAATGCATACAATATTGAAAGTATTATCATTATTTATTGAAAACAAACAGAAACATAATTATATTATTAAAAGAATGAATATGAGTAATCATGACAAATAAATACAAGTCACCAACACATGAAACCAAGCTTTATTCTAACAGTGATGTATTACAGACAGAAGCCCATGTTTTGCTGTATCTCCACACAGCTGGGCCAGTTCTTCAGATGATCAGAGGGACTTCGCCATCATCACATCCCTCATTGCTGCAGTCAGACTGAAACAGGACGGTGATGCATGGCAGTCCATGCCCGAGATACGGATGATGAAGAGACCACAGCAACATCTGGTCCAGATGAGGACACAAGGGCATGTGGACTGATGCAGGGTCTCGTTCAGTTCACTACAGGAGAACAGGAGTGGCTAAACTCAGTCTAGAACTGCTGCTGTCTTGCAGAGTTTAGTTGAAGTTGACTCTAAACTCTGCAGGACACCAGCTGTCCACAACTGACTTTGGGCACCCCTGCATTACAGCATTTCCAAGATGCTGCTGCATGTGGACTTCTTTACCCTCACCACACACACCAATCTGCAGATATTTCAGATCAAACAAAACATAAAAAACATTCAAAAAACAATGTCATTTTACTGTACAATGTGTCATTTGATTTCTGTAGTGCTAGTAATAAAATTATCCTACCTCTTATTTTGGATTCTTTTTTCCTCAAATGTGTTAGTTCCCTTGTCTACAGGTCCAGCTCTATCACAACAGCTCTGCAGAAAAAGCACACACACAACATTAATCAGAAAGCTGATGTAATCACTGTTTGAAAATACAATAACTAATAATAATAATAAATAGCAAATGTAAAATATGTTTTTTTATTTTCTGTACTGTACTCAATAAAAGCCTCCATGTAACATAGAGACTAGAATAAATCACCTCTGTCATCAGGCCCGGCTCCAGCTTGGAACTTTAGGGTGGGCAAATTAAAAAAATAAACAAATTATATATATATATATATATATATATATATATATATATATATATATATATATATATATATATATATATATAATAAAATAATTTATAGTATTCTCTGTCATTCTGATAAAGCAAACTAACTTTTATTTTAAAACTAGTATTTGTACTGCAGATTCTATTTATGTCACTGTTTGCTTGCTTACGTGATGTTTCCAAGTTTTGCAAGAAAACTCCAGAAAAACATGTTGCTCTCCATGAACTATATGGGTGATTCTGTAGTTGCAGGTACATTTAGTGACCAAAGCCATCCTTTTTTCAGCTTTTAAAAAAAATTGTTACATTACATTGTTACATTTTTGATTATTTATTTATAAAATGTGTTCATCATTTTCAAAGATCACATTACCAAAAATCACGATTTCTTGATTTACAAATTAGCCAGTACATATTTCCATCATGCAAAAATAATTTATTTTGCTTTTCTTTAAAGAAAAATTCACCAGTATTTTAATTTTAAATGTTTAAACTGTAAACTGTCAATGCTATTATTATCACAATTACAAAAGGAAAACTGAATATTTCATTAATCACATATTTTACAAATAAAAAAATATTTTAAGCCTGATTTCATTAGTATCATGTGATCTTTGCAGTTATAGCAAGTAAAAGGTTTTGCTAAAAAGTTGTAAAACTAAATTACTGTCAATTCAGTTTAAATTTAGTAACTACACATTACGATTTTTCTTGCTATGATTTATTATTATTTCTAAACATTACTAAAGTCATCCATGACAGAGTTGACAAACAATATAAAACTTTTTATTCCCTAAAACATTTAATCATTTGTACAGCAAAAGCTGAATTATAAAAATTAAATATGTTTTAACTTTAGTGTTGGAATTTACAACCTTAAGATGATACCTTTAAAGAACTTCAACATTCCATACTATTTTCTATAATTTGTCATTTCAAAAAAAATCTTAATGTTGTTATTATTATTTAATGCACCAGAGCCAATATAGACATTAATATTTTTTTATAACTAACAAACAAATTTTTGAATAGCAGATTTTCTTTGCATATTAGCCTACTTATTAGTGATAGCTAATACAGTATCATTTATAGCCTATCAAAAAAAATCTAATTTATTTCGCATATAACATGTTTTAATAAACACACACATGGCGTTTCATGTGCTTTATCATGGCGCTCTGTGTGCGTCGACCTGCTCCCTGAAACATCTTGAATTATCAAGATTTATTCTATTCATTATTGAATTCTGAATTTTTAATATTGTATTGCACTATTGTTGAGCACAGCAGTGAACAGTAACAGTTTAAGATATCTTGTGTATGATTTTGACGTTTTTCCCTTATCAGTTAAAAAGTCCAATAACAGAGAGATCACATATGATAATTTGAGAGATTTAAAGGGGAAAAAAGACAACACGTCAATCGATAGCACGTTACACGGCTTTCGTATCTAATAAATCGAGTCAGTGATATTGAAATGAGTTCAGTTACTAACATCTCCAAATTTACAGATGAGGTACACACAGCAGCGCGCGTCAAGAGAAGAGCGCGCATTTAGAGAGAGCAAAGCGAAAGCAAGATTATGTGTGGATATGTGTCTATATAAAATATTGATGTTTTTGACACAAACTGCAACAAAGTGCTTTGCACTGGTGTTTGAATTGTGTATGTTGCACTTTGCACGAACTTTACTACTGAAACTGCCTGTGATCTGTCCGTTTCTGTGCGTCATTAACAGACTAATTAATATTTGCTCTTTCCGTGAGAAAAATGCTATAATGTTTAAGCGGGCCCAATACATCTCCTTGATTATCTCACAGTGCTGTTTAACTGTTTGTGTTCTTTAAGACTTTCTATTGTATGAAATACGACTGCATGAACTGATATTAAAGGGAGGTGCATTTGGTAATGCGCGTTCAGACGCGTGATGCGCACAGAAATCTGCGCTCTATGCTGAATTACTTTCTCTTTCATCTTTTGCAGCCTGAATTGATTAAAATTATTAAAACTAATATTTTTTTATATTTAAATCTAATATTTAATTTAATATTTAATTAATATTTATCTAATATTTTAATCAAGATTGTAAATGAGTCTGGCTTGCCAAAACGTGTTTTTTTGAAGCTCACGCGGTCACAAATCCTCAAGTGATCAACTATATACTGATGCACAGATTAAACAAATGACCCTTTATTCTCTTTTAGTAAGAATACATGTATCTAATTTAAACAGTATTGGCAACAGTCAATTGACAGCAGATTCTACATCAGCACAAATACATCACTCACTCAGATGTCTGTTTAGTCTTGTGATCTGCAATACTTCACATTTTTCTGTCAGACATTTGATAATAATCTTTTTTACCTTTGAAACGTTACTTTATATGTGCTGATTGGAGACCGTAACATTACACAGTCAACATTTACAGCGAAATGAAATAGACTATAATTTAAAGCCTCTTTACACCCTCAGCAATTCTACAGTGCACTGTACAGTAGCTCAACAAATACGAGTTTAACACAAAGAATTGTCTTTGGTTTAATACTCACATTTCAAACTGACCGCGTCCTCTTCCTCCTTCAGGCCGTAGGCTGCGGCTTCCTGGAGTAGAAAGGCATCCACCTGGCGGACTTTTTATGGTTACTAAAGTTTCAAACCTACTCCTTTTCTTAAGGCATGTTTGCTCCTACTATGAAATAATTAAGCAGGCATTTTTGAACGCAAATCAGGTATAGATGCAGCGAATCTCGCAAAGGGGGTTTCGGTTTCGACGTTCAGCCTCCGCAGCGCTAGAGCGGTGACGTCACGCCCCATCCCCTATTGGCTGAATTTCTCTGAGAGCCCACGTTTTGGTTGGCAGATACACAAGTAACTTTTGCACCAAATGTCACAGTGATTTTTGGTGCAGAAGAGCGAGAGAGCGAAATGTAGATTTGCAAGTGAAAAACAGCGCTTGAGACTCGTAGCGGCAGATTTGAGCAGTTGCAGGAACATATTTGTGTTCGTGCTTAGAAAAAAATAATCAAACATTCTACACACGTTCAGCTCTCTTTGTGCGGATACACATTCTAATCTACAGATGTGCAAGTTTTGTCTGTGACTTCACATTTCTGGATGCAGGTGTGTGAATGTGTTTTGCACCATATTCACTGCAACAATAGTAGCAAAGAACATGAGCGGATGAGTTTCTGCATTTGTGATTCGTCCGATGGGATTTGTGCACCTGTACTGAAGAATTTGTGCAGGTGTAAATGTTGCGTTGTGTTTGTTGGAGACAAAAAATACCTACACATTTGCAAATTTGCTCTGCGAGTACAAATTTACTGATACGCATTTGCAAATTTGCTCTGCGAGTACAAATTTACTGATACACATGTGTGGCTATTTTTTACAACTACAAATGACACTTTTACAGCTGCTTGGGAGTTTTGCACCAAAAATACCTTCATAGGCCTCAGCGAGCTCTTTGGGGGGGTCACGTCACATAAAAATAAAATAAAAATTGCAGTGGACGATTAAGAGAGCAATTATGTTGCTTTAGTTTATTTCATCCCCTGGCTGACCAAAAAAATTGTCAAATTTGTAATTCGTCCTCCAGAATAAAGACAAGCGTCTCACTGATTCACCTTCAGCAGCTAATAGAGAGCATACTAGACCCAGGTGAGGAAGCTCCAAACATTTTGGGTCGCAGCGCTAGCAATACTGAAAACAGGAAATGCAGGAAATACCAAGACAGTTATCTACACAATTTTATTTCATTTTCTTGAAGCAAAGAGTCCCTGACCCAGTCAATATCAGTCATTATTTTTTGACCGCAAGGAGCAAAGGCTTACGTTTTTGAGTTACAAATGGCCTACTGATGTTTTGCTTTATCATTTTGCATTAGGCGATTGTAATGAAGTTTACGGCCCTTTGGCCGCCGGGAAGAAGGAACCAAAACAAACGGACGGCAGCTCCTCACGGAGACTGCCGTCAAACTGAAAGCAAAAGTAAAATATGTCCGGGCCCGGTGCTCTCTCGGCTTCCTCTGCCGTCGTTCTTTCTTTTATCGTCCAGAGCTACTTCCATGAGATCCGAAGCAGGTGGGCACCGCAGGTGTATTCACTTATGCGGTGGCCTTACTCTGTTCCCACGGCTCTCGGCCACGCAATTATTTGTGTGTAAACATATCTGGATATAGTAATAAACTTACAGTTTGTTTGGAAACAACATTTTTTGTTATTACTGCAAACTTATATGAGCGATAATATCATTAAATGTTGAGGGGGACCTTGCAATAGTTCTAGTGGAAAATAAGATCATGGATGTGCAGCTGACAAACCTGCAGCAACTGCATGAAGCTATCATGTCAATATGGAGCAAAATTTCTATGGAATATTTCCAGTACCTTGTTGAATCTATGCTACCAAGGATTAAGGCAGTTCTGAATGCAAAAGAGGGTCCAACCCAATACTAGTAAGGTGTACCTAATAAAGTGGCCAGGGAGTGTATATTAAAGAATATAGTTCCCATTAAAAAAAAAAGAAAAATGTCCATACTTCCACTTGGATAAGATATAATCCCTTCCAATGTCTGGCAGCAATAAAATAATGAGCAATTAGTGTGCATTAAATTCTGATGTCGCTCTACTGTTTCTGCATGCACTGTTAGACATTTCTGTAAATTACACAGTTATTTACTGTATTTCAC